AAAAGAGCTATTACCATATCCAAGAAGGATGCTTACAGTGCTGTCATATGCATTAGCGACGACGATGTCTAGATAAGTATCGTTATTAAAGTCACCAACAGCTACAGACACTGGGCCAAAACCAGCTGGATATTGTGTTTGATTTGCAAATGAGCCGTTGCCATGTCCGAGAAGAATACTTACAGTGTCGTCATCTCTATTGGCTGCGACAATATCCAGATGGCTATCGTGATCAAAGTCACCAACTGCTACAGAGTGTGGCACAATCCCAGTTAAATAGGCCTTTTGAGTTGAAAAAAATTCGTCGTAGCCAAGCATAACACCTATGGTGTTCGTATCATTGTTGATGAAGACAATATCTGAACGAGTGTCTTTGTTCAAGTCACCTATGGTAATGAAGATTGATGAAGAAGATCCAGTTGAGTACATTGTTGGATTCTCAAAGGAACCGTTGCCATATCCCACAAGCAGAGCTATATTTTGAGAACCATTATTGGTGACTACGATATCCATTCGATTGTCATTGTTGAAGTCACCAATACCAATAGCATACGGAGAAGCATTGCCAAGGGAGTAAATCGTTCGATTCATAAAGGTTCCGTTCTCGTTTCCTAGAAATACACCTATACTGTTATGTCCATGGTTGGTGACAGCAATGTCTAGGATCGTATCGTCATTTAAATAGCCAACAGCTAGCGAATATGGATTTGAATGAGGGTCAGTTAAGATAGTAATTTGCTTTCTGAAGGTGTGGCTACTGCTTCCAAAGAGTATACCGACATTATTGGTACCATAGTTGGCGATAGCAAGATCCGTCTGTTTGTCGTTGTTGAAATCACCACTAACAATTGCTAATGGGAAAGAATCATAGCCTGTAGAGTACGTACTTGGGTTTGAAAAGGTTGCATTTCCATTTCCATAAAATATGCTAACACTGTGTGTGCCATAGTTAGCAGTGACAAAATCCAGTACTGAGTCGTTGTTGAGATCTGCTATATGGATCCAAACTGGGCGAGATGATTCCGTGGATACAAATGTTTGGTTTGAAAAAGATTCGTTTTGAAATCCAAGAAATATACCAATACTATTGGTACCGAAATTTGCAATAGCGATGTCAGGTCGATGATCATTGTCAAAATCACCAACGGCAACCATGTATGGAGCGGAGCCTTTGCCGGTGGAAATCTTGATTGGGCTTGTTATAGTGCCGTCCCCATGTCCAAAATATATGGCTATATTTTCAGCATAATAATTGGCAACCACAATATCCAACCAAGTGTCACTATTGAAGTCACTCATGGCGACAGCTCGTGAACCAGACTTATATTCAATCGGTTTTTGAGCTGTTGCTTTAAAATTCAGCTGACATTTTGGAACTAAATAGCATAGGAACAAATAGATGAAGATTGCTCTATGATGAAGATTTCAATAATTCTGATTCTTTCGTATAGGAAATAGTCAGATTGTTACAAAATAATCTCAATGGCAACCAACAGTTTCAACAAGAAACTCGTTGGATCTCATGAAACTGTTAGTGATTGAGGAATAAGAGACTGTAGATAGCATAGTGACAAAACGAATTGAATGGAGATTGATTTCTGATTTTGAACATGATGATCATACTCTATCGTCACAGTGTGACTTCTTTTCCTGTGGGACAGTTCCTCGCAAGACATGGACATGCTTCATTTGGTTAGGAAGTTGGGACAATGAATCCTTATCACTAACACATTATCTTATGTTGTAATAGAAAATGTGTTAGTTTAATTTTTCACCCCAAAGCAGCTTATCTTACGTGAATAACTATGTGTTTGATGTTTGATCTAATGAGTTTAGATGTAGAAAATGTGAAATCATTTATAGCTTCTGAAAGCTTATAGCATTCTTGTTTTTGAGATAGGGTTACTTGGACGAGAAAACCTTAAGATTACAATTTTCGAAAAGTCATGACCAAAGGACGAGGATGTGTAATAAATCAAATTTACCGTTTGCAAAAAACACTCAATCACTTTCGATGCAGATCAAAATCCTGCATTATTAACTCAGTTAACTTGTCTCACTATCTACTCTGATAACTATATACCTATACAGATGAGAAATTTTTCCTATTCATCTCAGATCAATTCCAGAGAACTACATACTTGGCTTCTGTTTTGTTAAAATAACGGCACATACTATTGCAGTTTAAGGTAAGCTCAATCATCGAAATACTTCAACTAATAAATAACTAGAAGAATACTGCATGGAATCATTAAAGGGAAGATGATCATATATCTACTAAAAAGCAATTGAGGTGTAGTGAAACACGGTAGTACAATTGGTTTCAATAGGAAGGGATTATTTTTCAAATAGTTTTAATGTCGTATCACAGAAGTTTTTCATTTCATTCCACACCGAAAGTTGCCATTTTTAATAGGTTCCTTCTTTGAGTTTCTCGATTCATCAGATATATTTTATACAGGGTTGGAAATAATATTATTCCAGGGGGGGTAACGCTACAATTCTGAATACCAACCCTAATGAATTTTATACCAAATGAAAGCCCGTAAAAAATGGGGTTTCCTGATGCCAAATTGTAAAGGTTCAGACATATTTTTTTCTAATAAACTTTCAAAAGTCATGATAATTCACTCATATGAAGTATGCGAAAACCGGTATATCAGGTGAAAGTCGACCTAATTACTTTATGAAATAGTTTATTTCTCCATGATTTAACAAATACAATCAATAACTGGTATGGCGACCATTAGCGTTCTTTACCGCACGAAGCCGAGATGGATACAAACATAGGAGAGTTTCAAATAATTCAGTGTCTTCTTGCATGTTTGTTAAAACATCTTCAATGTGCGTTTTGAGTGTCGCTTCAAGATAACGATTGTTTCCAGCTTCGGATAGCATTTCTTTTTCAACTTCATCTTTGATTATTGATCCGATGTGTTCTGCCACATTGAGATCCGGTGAATTTTCTGGCCAAATATAATTTCCTCAAAACTTAACGTCGTTATCTTGAAACAAATGCTGGGTCATATTCGCTTTCATGCATGGTGCTTTATCGTGAACAAATATAACTTCATCGGGATCGATGACATTTTCTTCATTTTTTTAAGAAAGGAAATACGTTCTGTGTCAAAATTACATCTCGAAAATATTCACCAGTCCAAGATTCACCTTTATCTTTGATCACCCAGAGTAATCTCTTGCAAGTGAACATGATGAAAACTCCAATGCATGTTTGATGATTGACCATTTCACGATATCTTTCATCCTGTTCGATGTCTTCGATACTTCTTGCCCAAATTCGATCATTTTGATAATTTGGTCTACGGACGGTCCAGACATAAAATTCATCTGATGGTGCAAGATGAAGGAAGTCTTCCTTAGTCCAATCCTTTAACCAATCACACAGCCATAATCGATCTGATATATGAGTTTCTGTTTTTAATGATTTGGGAATGACGTGGAATGGCTTTAGTCCTTCCCTGTGACGATAATTATTAATCGTTCTTGGAACCACGTATTCTCCGTGTTTTTCAGCAATTTCCTTTGCCACAACAGAACAACTTTTTCTTTGTTTACCGCTTGCATTAAGAATGGTGTCTCGACTAGCTTGTGATAACTTGAGTTTTGGACCGCTATTCGAATAATCAGCAAAACACTGGTCATATGATTTCTCCCACCATTCTGTGACAAATCGAGTAGTACGATGAACTTTTTCTGCTATCCATTGTCTATTGATAAATGTTGCACCGGCGTCACGAGCTTCACGAAAAGCAATGCATCTGATTCTGTCAATCATTCTCTGCTGTTCACTATCATAAGTACCAGCCATTTTCAAGTAATGAAGCTTCGTTGATTCGAAAGAGGATAGATTCTTTTATGAAATATATCGATCTGAAAATGGTCTTATCTATTACTACGCATCTCTGAAATATCTCTCTTTTGTAATCTTTTTACAGAAAGAAAACAAAAATCGTCTAAATAGCTGCTACCACGTGGACCGAACAACAGAACGCAAAAGGAGCTCTATGTCTCACTCGAATATGCGTCTTATAATCGCTCGAAAAAAGATTTTTTGATTTTCTTACAGAAAATTTCTGTTTTTCTTTGCTCTACCGTGCTTCGAAAGTAAATTATAACGGGTGTGTTCTACGAAATTTCGAAACTTTTGAAAGTTTGTTAGAAAAAAATATGTCAGAACCCTTACAATTTGGCATCAGGAAACCCCATCTTTTACGGGCTTTCATTTGGTATAAAATTCATTAGGGTTGGTGTTCAGAATTGTAGCGTTACCCCCCCTGGAATAATATTATTTCCAACCCTGTAGAACTGGTACTCTTTGAGACAATAGGCAAACTGATCAATTTTTTCCATTGTGGTAAATACTACTTAAGATTATCGATAATCATATTAATGCCATCAACATAATCTGAACTGGCTTATACTTGAACTAATAGTTTTATCATTAGTAGAACTTATATAGCAAAATAAAATACTGCGATTGATTTAGAAGTGATGTCTGAATGTTTAAGATTAGAGATCTTCGAAAACTTGTTTATCAAATTCATTATGATGATATTCTTTGACACTTTCGTCATATCCAAGAACGTATCGATTGAGTAGAAAGGAAAAAAATCCAGGATCAATTAAGTTTTTCCTCTAGATATTTGAAAATGTAAGCATAAATAAGTATGAGAAGTGATTCAAAAACATTGAATAAGATGAAGTTGATCTTTCAACAACAATTAACAGTGCGTAATATCAAGTTGTAAAAATCTAGCTTGTGACATTGTCGTTTCGTTGACATATGAACAAAAAACTAAGAAAAACGAAATAATCTCTGTCTGTAGAACGAAGCAACCATGAGATCATTTTTTTCTAGAAGTGTGTTCGAATGTGTAATTTCTAAACAAGAAGTGAGATTCGAAGACTAGACTACCGATAAATTAATAGACCAACTATATAGTCTTGATTACTGTAATGGATAAAAAACGGTCCAAGGATATTTTAAACGGAATAATGAAGCAGTGGTAAAATTTACAACAATGGTAAAATAAAAGTTAAGTAACTATGGACTGTTATAGTGTTGAATATGGAGGACGTAAAACAACAAGAATATACCTGATGTTTTTGCTGCGGTAAAGCTAACTATCAGTATACCTATGAGTGTTAGTATACTTGTGCTCATCGGCAATACAAAGATAGGTTTGAATATATAATCCAGCATCAACAAGTTAAAATGTTTCCTAGGAAAGAGCAACAATGATGATCGTTTATGTTACAAGAAAAGTCTTACATATGCTGTAGAACAGTGGCATTTTTCATTCGATCGATTAGTTCATTCTGAATTTCTTGTACATTTTGAATATTTGGTATTGATGTGGACGCTTCACTTGTATTGGTGGAAATAGTATCTCTACGAGGACCATATTTAACGGATTTATCATTATTTCCCGTAGAAACTATTTCAATCTACAAGATGACGATAGTGAACGACGAACACAATTCATATGAGCATATCAATATATCACTAGCTATGAAATTTTTTTTCCTGAAAACTATCAATAGGATAATTGTGTCTTCTCTGCCCAGTTAATATGAGCACAGGTGACTATCTTTCTCTTGCTAACTCAAAGTTAAATAAATGCGTTTAGTATGTTTAGCAAAATGCGCAACACATTTGTCGATAAACTTATACTCGAAAAAGCACTTGCGCCAATACCACATCATCTTATAACACTTATCAAACTTAGTGCTTCGATAGTTTAGTGCACGAGCCAATATCTATCTAGGTTTGGTTTATTTCTCTCAAAACTAGTGCACATTACTATTTCTATTTTGCATTTCTGATACGAATACTTTGATATGAAGGATCTTTAACTTGTTTTGCAACTGTGTTTTTCAAACAATCGGCACCAGATTTTCTGATTCGCGGAACTCTCATCAAGACTCTAAAATCACACTGTTTTTAACATTCACTTAAAACTTTGGATCAGCCACTTGCCAAATGCATCTTTTCTTCTGAACTAATTTTGGAAAAAAGTATATGTAACTACCGAAACATAAAAAATTTTCTTCTTTGTTGGTTGTCAAATATTACTTGAGCTTCTTAGAGTAGAACATGAATACTTACTATGCAACTCGTATCCAGGTTTGTCTTTTTTTGTAAATTTCTTGCGCAATATGTTCGTGACATCAGAACATTATACTTTAACAATTTCTCAAGCAAACTATATCTCATCGAGATGAACTGTTCCAAAAGAATTTGTGTTTCTTCTTGAGTCTTTTTCAGCCACGATTATTTTCAAATGTTCTGTCCAATGACATTAAAATAGGAGTAATAAACAATGGTCGAGTTTCTAGTTAAAATAATGTCTAAAAATAGACATCGATTGGCAACGGTTTCCTAAAAAGGTGTGACGAGCGATCCGTTTATCGCATATAAACAAGATGCATGAATTCAATTAAAGAATTTAGTTTAGTATAATATTCAATTAATCATGTAAATGATGGATGGAAGACGTACTTCGAAGAAAAAAATAATTAATTCTAAAAAATTGCTTACAAATCCCTTCATCTGAAGTACATATACACTCTAAAAAAATAGGTTTTTTACGAAACCCTTAAAAAAGGTTCCGTAGATGTGAAAACGTTTCAGAATGTGTCAAAATGTTTAAAAAACACATCTTCAATTCTACCAAACCTTTTTCTGAAAAACCTTTTTTTTCGCTACGGAACTTAAAAATTGGTTTCGTCATAAAATGCGGAATCTTTCGGGTTTCACAAGAAACCATCTATGGTTTCGCAGTAAACCTTACAACTTTTCGGTTTTATAAGGATCCATCGAAGGTTTCGTGTGAAACCCGAAAGATTCCGCATTTTATGACGAAACCAATTTTTAAGTTCCGTAGCGAAAAAAAAGGTTTTTCAGAAAAAGGTTTGGTAGAATTGAAGATGTGTTTTTTAAACATTTTGACACATTCTGAAACGTTTTCACATCTACGGAACCTTTTTTAAGGGTTTCGTAAAAAACCTATTTTTTTT